TGGATTAGAACACATGGCTTGAAATAACAGATTCTGCAACTAATACTAATCCTTCAAGCCCCTCTATTCCTGCCAAATGTTACTTTAACCTAGTTTTTGTAGTGCGATTATGAGATCCTTTAATTTCTCTATACAAGAAAACACGATCTAAGTGTTGCACACTGCAATTTTTCATTCTACAAAACAGTTGTACTCCACCAAATCAATACCAGTGGCGCCCTTGTGGAATTTCAAATGTTTTCAGTAAAACTTTCTCAATGGTAAATCTGTCTGTCAAGAATGTATTAATCTAAAATGGTCATTACATGCTATTTTGCCAAATCCTTTCATGAGCCTTTTAGTGCTGTCACCTGCACCAATTAAAAGAAGCTGTTGGAAAATCAGGAGCAGTTCATATCTGCAAATGTCTAGAAACACGTACTACTTCTTTTACTGCTGTTTAAATAAATGTCATTTACATAAGAATTACTAATGGGCTGTAAAGATCACTGCTTTTGAATATATGTAGATGAGAATCCTGAAACCATTAGATTGTGGTATGACACTTTTATAGCACTGGGTAGGGATTAAATCACAATAGACTGATTTGATGTGCTGGTTATATTTGTTGAAATTATAAATGAATGTATTAGATGTTGATTCTAGCATATGATTTCCTTAAAAGAAGTAAGTTAAATATTTGTCATTGCTTTCCAGTATAGCCTTCTTTTGAATTTCTAGGGAAAGGAAGATGCACTTTTGAGGCTTTAAAAACTTCTTTTTACTAATAAATTTCTCTTCCCTTTCAGTACACATGAATGCCCTTTGAGTGCCTAATGGGAACTGATGCAATGTATTGATTGCCATTTACAATGCCTTTATAAACTGAGCGAGCAAAACATGTCAAAGGTTTCTGACCGGAACCAAGCTGCTCAAACTATTATTATTTCATGGGTTGCTAATAGTTTAGAGGAATAACTCCTATACAGCAACTCACTAATGAGCTAAAATGGTAAATATGGTCTGCTGTGAAAATATCTGAAAATATGCCAGATTGCTATAGCCATTACATAAATGTCAAACTGACAGTATTCGGCATGTGAGTCTGGAAGAGAAATTTCGCATTTAGCTTTAATGTACAAAGCTTGGATACTGTCTATCAGGAGACATTGCAATGGTTGGGGAAAAAAGCCAGCACCATAAAATAGGTCAGTGGCTGGAATCAACCCAGGTCTGAAGTGGCTGAAAGTCATTACCATCTGTTCATGTGAAATGAGGCATTGGTTTCAGTCCAGTCCTTCATGTGCACATTATAAAAAGATACCTGCAAAAGGATCATGGACTGAAAAACCAGTTGGCAGAAGAGGCCCTTGAGTGAGCTATAAACATCTCTGGCTCTTAAAAAGTAGCTAAGACATGGGACACATGAAGCTTGCTTGTGCTTGTATCCATTACATGGAGAACTAGAAGCCTTTTTTTCCCAGTTCTGTTAATATCCCACCATTCGCCTGCCAGTAACATTCACTAAAATAGGTATCTGAGAGAGGTGTTTAGAGACCAGTTGACTTTGGGTCTTATCCATTGCATAAAGCTTCCATAATGGGTCTCAACAGACTGTTTCCTCCCTGGAACAGTGCTGTCAACTCAAATAAGTTCCTCTCTCTGTGGTTGTGTTTTTAATGTGAATCTTACCTACTTTGCCTACTGCTGGTGTGGCTCACAAAGCAGTAACCAGTGATGTAGGTAAGGTGAAAGACAGCACAGATACTATTATATTATGCTACAGAGGGAGGATAATGCCTCTGGCCAATATCCATACGCACTCTTAGTAGAGTTGGGGAGATGCTGAGGAACGTGCTATGATGTAGTAGTGGAGACAATTGAATATAAAGTGAAAGCAAAGACAAAGTGAATATATTTTTCTAGAAGCTGGCCGTCATGAATTGCAGAGTTCTTTAGGAATGGTTTCGAATTATAGCCATCATTATCATTGTGTTAGATAGATAATAAAGATTATACAATGAAATATTTATGGGAATACATGCTTTTAATCTAAGGTATCAGTTTTTGCCCATCTCAAATCAACTGAAGAAGACTCTAATTACAACAATTCCTTGCTATGTCATTACATTCAAATTAACTACTCTCCAGAAGTTAATACAACTGAAATGATGTAGAGCTCCCCTAGAATGAAAAACGTAGACAGGCACTGATTAATGCCAATAACATTACATATGGTTGCAACTGGAAGACACCAGTCTCTACCTGCCTTGTTAAGATAAAGCAGGATTTCCTGTTCATTCCCACGGTCAGCAGAGCTCTGCTCTCTTCCTATTTCCATATTAATTTTAAGACCATTCTTCTTTAGTATCTCAGTTCACCTCAGCACCAGGAGAGAGTCACAGAATGGTTGAAAACTATTGAAAGCAAAGATTTTGAATGCTTAGTAGACTTCGTAGCCTCTCAAAAGAAATACTAGCCCTTTTGATCTCGCTCTAAGGACAGATTCCTATGCTATATCAGACTATTAAGGAAATGAAGAAACACCTCCAAATGATTTCTGTTTTCTGTACTCATGGATGCAAGATATACAGAAGCAGATTTTTTCCCCTAAGAAAATAAGATGTCTACAAGTAGGGCCAGTGACTTCTAATAACACTCTGCTAGCTTTTCTGCTGCAACTGTACTGGATGCTATCTGTTTATGTACTTTTGTCAATACAAATTATACGATATATATAATTTTCCTTATGTCTGTGATGTGTGTGTGCATGCATGCATGTACGTGCATGTACAACAGCATTGATGCTCACATAGATTGTAGAGCCAGGTGATAAATATTTACCATGCATCATAATTGAGCTCTGCTCGCAATGCTTCTGCTTAGCCGACACTGTAAGGCTGAAACCCCCTGAGCAGCTTTAAAGAGCCATCAGTTTTTTATCTGTCAGAAAAAGTAAGTTTTCCTTCTCCCATTTCCCTTAGTTTTACAGTTTCCCAGGATGCATCCAGCAGAATGACAGCTTTGCTATACAGTAATATCACAGGTTTAATGTCTACTACCTCTCAGTAATGCAGAGCTAGAGTTGGGAGTTTTCCAAAGGGCCCTAGCATATGCATTCCTTCCTGGAAGGTGAGTAAGGGATTTTAAAATCTTCACATTTTTAGGTACAGAAAATATGTTTTAGGTCATATTTAGACAGGTTTTTGGCTCCTATTGAGTTCTCTGATGCTCAGCTCATGATGAAGAAGGAACTTGACTTTGCAAGTAGAAGGAGAAAAAAGAGCCCCGATGAATAGTTTACAAATGGTCTAAAATATTCTTAACACTGTATTTCTGTACAGGGGGTGGCGCACGCAGAATACACACTGCTGTGTTGTTGTGGAAAGGTTTCATGCTTACCCATTTAAAATGACATGTGTAATTCATGGCTTCATCATTACCAGACCACACCATCATCTGTAATGGACACATTCATTCATCTCCCTGTCTTCTTCTGTGTTTAATAGGCTGCTCCTACAGCTCTAGTTCAAAATAGGATACCTAATGTGTTGACACTTGACTACCCAGGATACCCTACAACTACCCAATAAATGGGACAAGTAATACCTATATGAGAACAGACTTGTTCAGGTTAGTTATCACCAATAGTGTCACTGTTTCCCACAGAATATGCCAACAATTATTCTTGTAGGATTATGGGAATTAGAACTGGAAAAATGATCCAGTCTCCAAAATTCTTCTGATCATAGACAACAGTGAATACAGTGCTTAAACAGTCCAGAAGCTAGGCTTCTAGTACATGGAGCTACCATAGATTTAATACTTTTGGAGATGAAACCAAGCTGAAAAAAACTACAGTTACAGCCGATTTATTCTTGATTTCCAGTTTGAATAGATTTTTCCCAGTGAAAAATCCTGACATTATTCTGTACCATAGCCAATCCACACTCCTGTCTCCCAAAAGATGTACTCTTATTAAATGCAAACCACTAAAAGTCCTGAACAGTGCTGCAGTTATATTTGCAGTTCATCACATAAAACTAGCAATTAATTCATTCTTCCCATCTTCCTTTTTAATTTTGGTAAATAGATACCAAAACTGGCAGCTCTAGTTATTTAATGGATGCTGGCAATATTCTTGTCTCTTGTACAGAAAGGCATAGTCACTGCTCCAAGGGCCTTACATTTTAATTGTTCTGTTGGCAATTATAGCACTGCCCAGCATACTGACCTTCTGCAGTTGATTAGTAAACTCTTTTTGTAAGATCGGATATTTGGAGATGCAGATATCTGCCTCAGTGCTGAAACGGTTCTGATCACTAGACATTTTGAGGCAATCAGAGTTCTGACTTGACTTGCTGAAACTCTGAATTTCCAAGTCACACAATATTTTTTTAACACTTTGAAACCATTTTCATTCCAGTTGGGGAGGAACATAAATCATTTTCAAATGTCCTCTTCAAATGAAAATTCTGAAATGTCAAAAATGCTTGTTTTGTAAGCTCAGGGGGTAATTTTGTAGCTCAAAAATGTGGTTGTGAACATTATCCTAATATATTTTCTTCTTGATTTTTATGGCTTTTTCACATCCTTTCATGTGAGATCATGTTATGAAGGAATAAAATATATATATAGGTGAAAATTTAAACCTACCCACTAAAACCAAATCCTAAGTGAAAATTAGGAATATTCCCAAATGACAATTTCAAAACAATTTTTGTTTCAGAAAACTTTTTTTTTGCCATGGGACCTTTCACTAAAAGCGACAGGGTTTTGAAACATGAGTTTGGTGAATCTAATATTTTAGGATCCCCCCCGAAAAAGAAAATTGAAAAAAAGGTATAACCAGCAGAAGAAAAGGTACAACCAGCATTAACTCTGATGACCATGATGCCTTCACTGGAGTTATGACCATGAGAAAAGTTAAGCATACATGTGAGTGCCTGTATCAAGACCTTATTTTTGAGACATTTAGTATTTAGGAAAGCAATAATAAACCTTTAAACCACACAACTTACTCTAAAAAATTCTTTGGTTGAGCCTGAATCCAAAGTCCCATAGGCTATTTCAGTTTGCTTAGCCAGATCTTCTGCGCTTTCTATGGGAGAGACCATCCTTTCCACAGTTAGGAAGGCAGCAAGATTAGCAGTGTAGGAAGAGATAATGATGAGGGTGAAGAACCACCAGACTCCTCCAACAATTCGCCCTGAGAGAGATCTACAAAGAAACAAACATGGTCAAAATTACCCATTTTTTGTTTTTCTTATAAAAAAGAAGTGCGATTTTTTTTTTTTTTTACGAAAGCTTCCTAAACCTTGCCTGTAAAGTTTGCACAAAACACAACCCTTTTTGAGCACAAACTCCCCATATTTGCACTTTTTCAGGTAAATGCAAAAAGGACAAGTACAAGCCAATCAGTGACATTCTTATTCAGATATTACCGTATTTATTTGCTTACCACACGCAGCCCTTTCCCAAAAAGTCAGCCCTCCAAAACTGCGGTGAAGCCGATTCCTTCACTGGAATAGAAGTAGAAGCATGAAGACACTGTTGCAAAATGGCTCCAGCTTCTCTCTCAACAAGAAAGCAGGAAGGGCGTAGTCCAGCAGAACCCTTTCACAGCCACTCTCAGCTTGCTGGCTAAATGGGAAGCTGGCAGCCATTTTGCAACACAGCGTCTTCAAAAAACAAGATTTGCGGGAGATGTGAGGTACGTGAGAAAATATGGTACTTAAGATATGGCTTGAGCACACCCCCGGGAAAATGAGTAGAGCACAGGGGCTATAAGGGCACATCCTGAAAAGACTCAGTCTATGGTGGCCATAAAATTACCAACTTCATACATGACATGCATTCACAAGGCTTGCCCGATTCTGGGATTAAATACACAAGGGCCTATGTGCTCATGGTTATAGGCATGCATACAAATTTTATAGCCATGGCTTTAAAAACTCCACTGTTGTCATTTTGGCATTAAATGATTTTTTCTTTTAACGAGGCCTGAAGTTGACAGAGAAGTCTCAGCCTTCAAGGATAGAACGATGGGTATCACTAATGCTTTAGTGCACTTCTTACTTGGTCCTTCCAAAACATACTTGGCCATCTTATCCCAAGGAAGGCATGACCAAGAAGGGAGACAGTGCTTAGCTAGATAATAGGAAGTGAAGCACATAGCTCTTGTGTAAGATGCACAGGAATTTATTTCTGAGGAAGAGTAGAGGACATCAATGTAGAGATTACAGCCAGGAATATCCTGTGTATGGAGCCTCAAACAAGCGCTTCCATTTCAAAAGGCAGCCGGGCTTGGCAGAGGAAAGCAAACGCTGTGAATTAGTGTGGCCAGAAATATGTCTCCTCTACCACTTCACCCATAGAAACAGAAGACTAGCAAACACCGAAAACTTTCTCCACTCATCCATCCCTGACACATTCCTTGGAAGATGAGCAGTAAGCAGGGGACAAAAATATCCCCAGGCTATTAAGAAAAATGCTATGCTGGCTGATTAGAGCAATGCATGAGTCAATTCAACTTCCCACTGAGGCCTGCCCAACGGGAGAGACTCCAGGGAGCAGCAGGAGGTCTAATCAGCGGGGCAGCTCCAGAACCCCTTGCTAGAGAGGTCTTTTGCCAGCAGACTTTTGGCTTCAGTGGCAGACTAGCCTTTCCCCTTGATTAGTTCAAATCACTGCAGTACACTAGCATCAGTGCCTCTTGAGGATTGCCTAGCTTGAAAGAAACAAAGATATTTCTTGCTGGATCTGTCCCTAAACTGTGAAATTAGGCAAAAGCAAATAGGGATGTAATATATTCATTAAAATTTACATTTGCCAAACAAGAATTATCAACAGGTTGCTCTTGTCAGGGCCCAGTAGGAATTAGAATGAGACTGAATCGTACACGTTGACATGGAGACATTCTAGTGTATTTTATGTTAATTACATTTGCATATCTAAAACCCACTGTTCCAAATCAGGCATAGTCTTATTTAATAATCTGCAGCTTCAGCATGGCCATTGCTGCCTACACCACTAGCGGAGCACAGAGGAGAGCAGAAACTATTATTTTACTTCATTTTTTTGGAAATACGATAGACAAAGGCTGAAGAAATAAGATAAAATCATTGTAACCAGACAATAGGAGGGTTCCTCCTTTAAGCTGCCTTGCTCAAAGTAAAACTGCCTGCACAATAGGCCCCAAAAGCTTATTGGAAGCTCATTGCCCTATTCCTTGCTCATGCCAAACTCTAATTTTAGGGCAAGATGTTGAGTACTGGGGAGCTGCTCCTGCCATCCATGGAGGCCGGTGGGGAGTGACTAGGCATCTACTTCAAGTTACGCACAAACTAATCAGGGATATTCAGGCCAGGAACATTGCACCAAAATGTTAACTAATCATTTTCCCCCAACTTTCACTTGCTTCAGTAGAAGAAAGATCAAATCTCAAAAATGTTAAGTCCACAATCCTGGATGAACAATGGGAATGTTCATGAATAATACTGAGAAACAGCCCCATCTGATGTAATTGGAGCAGATTTTACCCTAGGAAGAGTGCATTCGCCATACATTGAGGAACGAGTATGTATAATTTTTAATTAGCTTGTGTAAGTCTTTGGGGTTTCATACAGTTTGTCAAAATTGTGTTATCTTCTAGTTTGAAAATTAAATTGGGTTATATGTGGAACAGGGCATTTTACCTGCCCCAACAACTTCAATTTTGGCATTTCCAAAGCTTTGAATACTTTCCTTTGCAACCACTATGTCTTCTTAACATTACTTTTTTGTATGTCATTTTTATAAATAACTGCAGAAAGACTCTATAACATGTGTAAGGAGTCTTTCTTCCTGGCTCCATGAAGTAGAAAGTGTCGTTTTTTTTGAGCAAAGAGCAAGGAAAAAAGTGAAACTCAAAACACCTTAAAGTTGCTTCATATTTTTTTAAGACAATGAAATTAGACTCCCTAAAAATACGTATTTGTATACATTTGGACTCTGTCACATATTGTTAATTTTGCATGTTCATATATCACCTATGCAAGAAAACGTGCCAACTTCAACAGTGTGAGAAAACAATTAGAGCAGATCAGGTTTGTAGCAGACACATTAGGCTTGTCCTGGAAATAGAGAAAACGGGGAAGATTTAGCTGATTGTTGGTTTCTTCCTGTCCTGAATGCCATGCCTTGCCTAAGCAGTGCATACTGGGTGTCCTTCCAACAAGGAAAAATGACATTCCTCGTGGCAGGGTCCTGACTCCCCACCTCAGAAACATGGATGGCTGATAATCTACCTGTCGGTACTCAGTGAGAGTTTGCCTGAGCAATAAATATTTAAAAAAGCTATCAGCTGGGGAAAAAAAAAAATCAGTGGCCAACTTTAAAAAGGCACACACAAAATATGGCTAGCAGTACTCAGGAGTGGGGGGTTTGCCCTGGCTAAGAAATGATTCTCCTCCGTCCGTCTAGCCCAGGAATCCACAATGGCAAACCCCACTGCAAGAAGGGACACAGACACTAGTACTAAAACTTTGATGGGTGATCGCACTCACCTCCTGACTGCCTGGAGTTTAGTATCTGCAGAAGTTACTACATCAAGCCTGTACCGATGTGAAAGAGGAGGTAAGGGGTTTGGGAGCCACACTGTTCAGCTCCAGAGATGAAGTACTGCCTCTTTGCCCATGAGGAAGTGGTGACTATCATGGTATGAGCAAAGGCAGACACAAGTCCTCACTTTTGTGAACTGCACTTGCTTCTTTAATGCAAACTCTCATACAAGACACACAACCAATAGAAACGATCAAGCCTTCTCTAAGGAGAATCGTATCGCCTGGCTTTTCAAATGTCAGGTCTCTTTCTGTGGAGTAGACCTGAAAAGCTGTTCCTTCTTTCAGGGGTCTGGACAGAAAGTCGCATTGTGGAACGAAGCTCAGACTACCTCAAAATCACTAGCTCATCCTGGAGACGCAAGAGATGAAAAAACGTGGTCGGTTGGCTACTGAAAAGCCAGGTTTAAAAGTAAGTTATACCAATGTAAAGCCAGTGTTTTAGAATAGCTCAAAGAAAGTCTCTCAAGATATTCCTCAGGGACACAGAGCAAGCAAACATCTGTTGGGGATGGCAGCAAAAGGGTGAAGTCCTATGTGGCTAAAGGAGGTTAAAGACTTGGGTTCAAGTCAGCAGCAGTGCTGCCCTACATGCAACACAGAAAATGTATCTGTGGGAAGTTGTAGAGCTGAGATCTATTGTGAAGGAAGCTGATGATTTCAAAACCTGCCAGCCCCCAGCGACTAGAAACTACAACGCAGGTAAGGTGAGCCTGCTGAGTGGCACGAGGCTGATCCGTATGTGATGGTTCTGCATCTCTAAACCTTTTTAGTCAATCTTTGGGTAAGAAGAACAAGGAAAGGAGCTTTGTTTAGACATGGAGGCAAATCTGATGGTGCACATTTGAGGAGAGGATGTACCATGGATTCATTCCTCAAATCTATTCCCTTAGAAAGGGTTCAATGTGATCCGTAGCTACCCAACCCTGCTGTGGGACGGATGGGCTACTGTACTGAAACCCCCTAGGCTACCTAAAGGAAGAGAGGCAACAACAGTGAGACCACCGGCCCGTGCGATAGCACAACATTCGCCCAGTACTGCGTATTTATGCAGTGCTTGACACACACAGAAAAGGTAGTGCGTGCTGTCTATACAAAGAACAACATTCAAGGAGAGCCTGGGCTTTACTACGGTAATCATGAGATGAAAGAAGGTGGGTCACTTGAAGAGGTGGGCTTTCCTGAAGGACCTGAAGTGTAGGAGAGGGTTCTCCATGGATGAGGAGCAGTTCGGCA